CATAATTGAGTAGAAGACATACTAGAAGATACATGTGTAGTAGCAGCAATGCGATCAGTATATTCAGCATCAATCAGATAAAGACCATGCCAATATTCACCCCTGCCAATCGTCTGTAAAGAAGACTTGTCCTGTATAAGACACGAATCACCAACAAACTGAATCATTACTGACATATGTGTGGCCAAAGCACTGGTAGACAACAAGTTGAACTGAAAATCCGGAATGTAGAGAACCCCTTTAAGTGTAATATGAGAATTCAATCGAACATCACCAATAAATTTCACAGGTATGCGAGAATTGTTAGGCAGAGTGACAGACATATCAGATACTTCAACCAAGGACGTAAAAGCAGGCCGAGAGAAACATACATGAGCGGAAGCGCCAGAATCAATAACCCATCGAGTACTGGAATGGATAGAATTCAAGATGGAGTAACAAATACCTGCAACATGTGTTGTAGAAGAAGAAGCAACGTCTGAAGTGGTTTGAGCTTTGGTAAGATGAGTCTGAAGCAAATTCATCAAACTCTGACATTGTTCTGGAGTGAAATTTGGTAATAACTATGAAGGGGATGGGGATGAATGTTGAATAGCATTCAAATTCTCAACAGCTGTAGTCTTGGAAAAGCTCAGAAGGCTTAGTTGAAGAGCTAGGACTGGCATTCTTGGATCCAGAAAATTTATAACCCGGGGGGTAACCGTGTAGTTTATAACAACGATTAATAGTATGCCCTTGAAGCCCACAATGAGTGCAATGAGCTTTTTCTTTCTTCTTCGTCTGTGAAGGATTTCTCATAGAAGAGTTCGAATTATTACTAACCAAAAACGCCGCAGGAGAAATAGAAGAAGATGAAGAAGAGATATTTCGTTGAGCAGCCTCCTGCGCAACTAGGGCAAATGCACGATTGATAGATGGAGCAGGTTCCATAAGCAACAATTGAGCACGCAATTGGCTATAGGACTCATTCAAACCCACGAGGAAGCACATGACGTATTCATTTTGAAAATATTCAGACATGGATTTAACACCACCACAGCTACAACGACCACAGGAGCAAGAAGGTCGATAAGATGAAAGCTCAGTCCACAGAGTTTTCAATTTGGTAAAATAGGCGCTGACAGTCTGTTGATCTTGAACAAGATTAGACAAATCTTGGCGCAATTGAAAAATTCGGGGTCTGTTCTGGCGCTGAAATCGTTCTTGAAGGTCAAGCCAAATGTCGCACGCAGAATCAGCAAACAAGACTCTTGCGAAAATTTCTTTGGACAAAGAATTTAAAATCCACGAAATTACCACGCTATTGCAGATATTCCACGAATGGAGTAAGTCTCCAGTAGGTCTTTGGATCGTGCCATCAACAAATCCAACTTTATTTTTTACGGTGTGAGCGATTAGCATAGATCTACTCCAAGACGTATAATTCTCATCCGTCAGAAGTTCAGAAACAAGAACCAAACTCGTATTGTCCGAATGATGGAGAAAGTATGGGTTATGGTGTTGTTCAAGAAGAGACGGAGGAATCGGTGAAGATGAACTTGAAATCGGAGTCGGTATAGTGGTCGATGACGAAGGATTCTCCGATGCTGGAGGATGTTCTTCCAATGGAGGATCAGTAACCGCCATAAGGATCTTGACGGGAAAAAATAGTGGAAAAGTGAAATAGTCACTGATACCATATTGATACTGAAGTGTAAATAATGCCTCAGTAATTCTTCATTAATGCAAGAGGTCATATAAATAGACCATGAGACAACTGTTACAAGAATAACAGAAATAAAACTGATATAACTAAGCCTATAACCACTATATTAACAAACTAATACTAAGTGGTACAATATACTCTAATATTTATCAACCTTCGTGGTGGCATATGCCTACGTGTTAATCTGTTTGATCAAGGCAAAACAAGAGGAGTGTAAAGAACACGTCAATTTCTCAATCTCTGCAGACGTGCGGGGGCTGTTGGATCCTCCGGTTTCGAGCAACTATTTCGGTAACTGCGTGACCCATCCGGCGATGCTGGTGGAAGCAAGGGAATTCAGAGGAGAAAGTGGGTTTCCAAAGATGGCCAAGAAAATTAGCCATCCGATTGTGGAATTGAGGAGAACTCGCGCGGTGGAGGTGCTCAAAATTTCTGATGTACAGCAGCAGGAGCGAGACAGTTTTATGTAGAGAACCGAATTCTGCTCGGTTGCGGCTTCGCCAAAGTACAAGTTCTATGAAACGGATTTCGGGTGGGGGAATCCCAAGAAATTTGAGATCGTTTCTTTGGCAAACAACAATGTTTCGCTGACTGATACCAAAAATGGAGTTGGTGTTGAGGTTGGTCTCGTTCTTCCAAACCTTCGTTCGGATGTCTTTGCTTCTCTGTTTGCTCAGGGGCTTAATTAGTTTTTTTTTTTTGTCCCAACAATGTCTTGAATTTCATTTCTTTCCTCTTTGTTAACTCTCTCTTTGGAGAAATTCTCAAAAAAAAACAAGAACAAAAATATGTCTTTGGAGATTGATGATTTCACGTGCATTTTAAGAGATTACAAAAATAAAGACTTTATACTCTAACAATGTTTATGTGAAAAAATATTTAGTTTTCGTTTCTTTTTAGTACAAAATTAAGAAAGCGTGGCTGCTGGGATTCGAGCCCAGGTCTCCACGGCCAGAAACAGCCACTTGGTAATAAGAAATGTTTGGTGATGGATTATTAAGCAATTATCTTAATGGTCACCCTTAAATTTTTATATAATTTTTCCTAAAGCTAATGTGGTGTCAAAATTTCAATGCTGGTTAGTATAGAAACAGGTAATAGCTGACCAAGTGACAAATTTTAGTGAACTTGTTTCAGATTTTATAATTAAAATAGTGTAAATTTTAAAACAACATCCTTTTTATGTCTTCATTTTTGCAGCTTTTTAATTTGAAACCATAAAGTATATAATATGGTAAGATAATGATTCTATAAAATTTAGAACAAAAATATTAATAAATAAATTAATAATATTTTAAATTGAATAGTATAAAAATATATTACTAAAATACAATTTTTTTTTCTTTTTTATAGTGAGATTCAACTCTCAAAACTTCTACCAAACACCTATCAAATATTAGTGAAAAAAACAATTATTAAAAACATCTATTATTTTAAACAAAATTTCTAGGTAATTTAAGGGAAAAAAATTATATAAAAGAATAATATATTAATTAAACACATATTCTAAAACTAAAAATAACTCGATTCAGAAAATATTTAAAAAACAATTTTTAATAATTAAAAATAAATGATTATATGGGTCAATTCACAGGATCTAGACCCGATTGAGCTTCGATCCATTGAATTAGACCAAAAAATTGGACTATAAACCTAAATCTGAATAGTTGATCGGTTCAAATCCAGCATAAACAATACTTGAGATCCACTAAAGTTGGACCTGGGCGTTGCTTCTTTAGGCCGGCTGGTGAGACTAAAATTCGAACAACTACTTTAGAGAAAAAGAAGATTCGTTTCCAAATCAAATATTGGCAAGAAAATAAGTGACATGATTTTGAAACTTAGAGCAGCAGCACCACATTTTTTCATGAAGAACTCCAACTTTTATCAGTTGCAGCTTCACCAAAGTACAAGCTTTGTGTGTGTGTCAATGAATCAGTGTTCTACTTATATGATCCTTGTATGACATTAATTTGAGGGTTGAGATCTCATCATCCTTTACTTTCTTTGTTGTTGTTTTTGCTTTTATTAACTAATTAGTTTGTCTTGTTTTATAATTTACATTTTAAAAATCTAGTCGCATGTTGAAAACTCAAGTAGAGTTGGTTTAATATCGATTATATTTTTAGTTTCCTCGTTTAAAAATTGGAAAAATATCAATATTTACCATTCTGAATTAACTTTCCAATTTTATCATCCCTAGGTTTACTTGAATTCAACGTGCGATAAACTTTATCCCAAAAAAAAAAACACACACACACAAAAGATGAAAAACAAATAATTGCCGGGTAAATGTCCGTAGGGTGTTCATGAGCTGGATTATACTTATATAGAAAAAACAAAGAAAAAAAAAAGAAAAACACACAAAAAAAGACGAAAATCAAATCATTGCTTATATTTGAAAAATGTGATTGATTGGGCAAATGTCCATAGGGTTGTTCATGAGCTGGATTATACTTATGCCGTACAAACCTTTTTCTGTCTCCGTTCTTGACCCACATTTAATTAATAACCTTGGGCACTTATTAATGTTAATTTTCAATTAAATAAATTTATAATTAAATACTTAACCTTGGGCGTCCGAAAAGTGCAACGAAAATTGAAGGAATAAATACCTCGTTGATGGAAGCACACGACGTCGACGGAAAGTCTATTTGGCAACGAAAAGAAAAAGATCTAGAAGAAAAGAAGAATTAAAAGAAGACGGTATGCAGTATCCTGTCCTCGTTGATGAAGGTCTGACGTCTGAAAGGAAGGCGGCGACAAACGAAGGAGGTTGGAGACGGCAGAAAACGAAGTGGAAAATTCAAATCATGATTTCACAAATTTGGAAGTTGTTAATTCGTGAACGGATCAAATCTTTGAGAGATTTGAGGATTTTAGGTTGAAAAATTGAATCGCCCACAATAATTAAATGAATATAATTACAAATTAAGGATTCAAATCTTTTAAATTTTAAAATTATAATATATTAAAAAGCAATAAATAAGGATAGAAAGGGTATTAGAATAAAATTCTACATCAAAATATCTAAAAGTGTAAATTTAGAAAATTGTGTAGATGCGATTTTAAAACAGCCCTCCCAAAACATTATCTCTTTGATTTTCAAACAGTGATCTTTAATTTCAAACTACAAGGTTAGATATTTTAACACCGTTTAGGATGGTCCCACGAGCCCATATATATGGCGAAAAGAAATACCCCAAAGATGGGGAGGAGTATGATTTTGTGTTTTATTTGTGGACCTCTAATTTGGAATAAAGTAATCCACGAATAAGGGTATTATTTTGTCGGTTGTCTTTTTTGTGTCTTCCTTATTTTTCCTTTTATCTTTTTCATTTCCTTCGCGCTTATATTTTAATTATTTTTTTCCGTTTATTTATATTATTTACATTAAATCATAATCACAAGACTAAATTAAAGGAATTAATGATAAACATATCTTAGAATTAATAACCTATTATTTCATTCTAACATACACAAATATCATTGTATTCCCACATACATATTCTCATACATCATCGTTAGTGTGGTGTGGTTCCCCTTTTTTATTTTTCTGCACATTGATTTTTAAGATTATGTTGAACAATTTTATAATTGAAAATTGGACATTGTGAAAAAAAAAAGATAAATAAATTGGACGTTGAGATAAGAATTAAAGGGATTTGATTGGGCGTCCATGGATTTCGCCAATCCTCCATCAATAATATGTCTGAAAATCTTAATATGCCAAATTGTTCTTTAATAATTATAAGAAACAAAAAAGTACCCCCCCACCAAAATAACTATAATGTTATGTACGTAGATATTACAAAATATTCTTCACCAAAAAGGGTATTTTTTTCAGTTACAAAATTACTCATTGTACTTTTCAAATTTCCACAATACAAACTTTTTAATTAAAAGAAAGATGTGACATTTTTTTTAATGATTTTCATATTTGGAACTCTCTTTCTCCCCTCTTTTATACATCCTCTCTCCTTATTCGACGACGAGAATGCCATCACCCCTTCTCCCTTGTAACATATCGCCGTCATCGTCTCATTTCGTTCTAGATCTGAAATGAAATGATCGAGAAATATTCAGATTAGAAACGTTTTGACATTTCCTTCCAGATCTGAAATGAGTCATTCAATATGTTAAATGAAATGGTCTAGATCAACTAAAACAAAACATTCAGGATGTGAACATCATAACAATGGTGGTTGAGAGTGAAAGTAGAAGGATATAGGAGTGGAGAGGGAGAAGGGAAGACACTCCATTCCAATATAAATAAAAAAAATTAATCGAAAATAATATATTTTGCCACATAATCAGAACCCACCCAACAAACAATAACGGTATAATTTTTCGGTTAGTTAGCTAACATTAATTAGCTTGAAGGGCCATTTAGAACCGGTCATTTTTAAATTAATGACTAAAAATGTATATTTTGAAACTTCGGACCCCTCACTCAAACCTTGGAACCAAAAGTACATTTTAACTCAAAAAAAAAATTACTTTAGTTAATAATCAACTTATTATAAAACCCTATATCTTAACTATTACATGAATATTTTTCTACATGTAGAGCATAACTTGATAACTAACTTATCAATAATTAACGCAAATAACTAAAAATGATTTTTTAATGCACTAGTGTAGTCACCTCATCTTCCACCGAGTATTTTGTTTTTTTCTTCTTTGTTTTCTTATAGAAAATTACAAGAGTGATTTAAAGCCTAGACTTAAGCAAAACGAGTAAATGCCATTCGTCATTGAGATATCTTCATGTTTACATTTATTAACAAAAGAAATTTATATTGATGTACATATCTCCAACTAAAAAGTTGTGAGTTGAATCTCCTACCTCACAATTCACATGTTGTATAAAAAAGAAATAAATCTATATTGATGTATATAACTATTTCTATGGATTTGACTGGACAAAAAAAGTTAGTTGATATTTTCATCACAAAATATTGTTGTTATTGTTGGGTTTGTAGAGACACGAGGAAGTATCGTTGTTAAGTATTTTTAACTTAAAAAAAAAAAAAGGTGAGGGTGAATGAAAAGAATTCAGATAGAGTTTCACCGGCCATTCAATGACACTCATGTGCTAGGTACAAGCTAGCTTAGAAGAAACACATCAAAACCTTTGTGCTGCCTTCGATTTTTGAGATAAATAGTATAACCCTCTCCTCAACTTTCAATGTGATTCTTTAGAATCTCGTCTTTATTTCCATTCAGAAATCTTGCAAACTCTCTCTTGTTTCTCTCTTCAATTAAACTTCCATGGAGAAGAGAGGCAGTAATATGAAGCTTAAGGTTGTTGAAGTTTGTAAGATCTCTCCATCAAAATCAATTACATCACAATTATCTCTCAATCTCAGTGTCTTTGATTGGCTCTACTTAACATCCCCTCAAAACGGACGTATTTTCTTTTATCCACTCCCTCTCACAAATTCATTCTTCCACTCCATCCTAATCCCCAAACTCAAACATTCCCTCTCTCTCACTCTCAACCACTTCCTCCCTCTCGCTGGCACCCTCCTCTGGCCCCACAATTCTCCCCTACCCTTCATCCTCTACGCGCCAAACGATGCCGTTTCCTTCGTCGTCGCCGAGACCGACTCCGACTTTGACCGTGTCTCCGGCAGCCACGCGCGCATGCTCAAAGACTACTCTCCGTCGTCTCTTGTGCCGAAGATCATCCCATCGTCGGAAACCGCCGTCCCACTCATGGCCGTGCAGGTCACCAAGTTCCCCAAAAATGGCTTCTCCATCGGCTTAGCCACCCACCGTGTAGTTTTCGACGGGAAAAGCTCCAACATTTTCCTCAAATCATGGGCTCACATTTGCAAAATGATCAATATGGGTGCAACCCAATTTTGTTTGCAGCCCGAATTCTCTCCTTCATTCGAAAGAGGCGCCAATTTGCTCCTCCAAAACCCGTTTGGCCCCAAAAACAGAACCTTGAAATTGTCATCCCCACGCTCTCCGCCGCCGTCCAATTGGCTCCGAGGCACATTCCATTTGACTCCCACCAACATTCAAACCCTCGAGAAAAGGGTATCGCAGTGGATGGAGAAAACTTCATCCCAACAATTCTACCTATCAAAATTCGTCGTGGTCTACGCCTACGTGTCGGTTTGTTTAATCAAAGCAAAACAAGAGGAATGTAGTGAGAAAATCTACATGTCGTTTCATGCCGATGCTCGTTGGCTATTGGACCCTCCAGTTTCGAGCAATTACATTGGCAATTGTGTCACTTATCCCGCAGTGCTGGTGGAGGCAAGAGAGTTCAGAGAAGACGATGGGCTTCCAAACATTGCCAAGAAAATTAGTAATTTGATTGTGGAGCTGAGAAGAAGTCGAGCCATTAATGTGTGTGACCATAATTATGAACCTTTTTCTTCCTCTAACAGCTCCAATGATTTATTGGGGGGAGTTGAAGTTTGTTTTAATGTGGATTCGCCAAAATCGAGGTTTTATGAGACGGATTTTGGGTGGGGAAGGCCCAACAAGATTGATGTAGTTTTGGAAGAATGTAATAGTTTTTCGTTGTTGGACAGTAGAGATCATGGAGGTGGTGGTGTTGAAGTTGGCCTTCTTCTTCCAACCCATCAATTCCACATCTTTGCTTCTCTATTTTCTAAGGCTTTAAATTAGCCCCATTCAAATTTCGTTTTGGGTTTTCGAGTTTCAAATTTATTTTGTTTTTGCTTTTCATTCTTGCAAGATTTTTTAATCTATTATTTTTACTTGGTATTGTTATTTTGTTATTGAATGTTTAATAGACTTCAGGTATGTGTATTATCTGTAGTGACAAAACTATGGAGATTGGTTCAAATGAATATTGGACAGTAAAATAATAACAATCATAAGATTTGAGATTTTTTTTTTATTTAAGTTTAAGAACTAAAATATAAAATTAAAAAAATTGAGGGACTTAATTATTTTTTTTATTAAAACAGATTATTGTTAATAAATTAAATCAAACTTTTATTATTAAAGTCTGTAAGTTGTTTGCATCCTCACATTCATCTCATCTACTGCAACCCTGGCCTTCAACGACAGTAAAAATACAATATTTTTAGTACAATAAAAATACAATATTGTTGAGATATTATTTTGTGCGTAGGTTCAGAAAGAATAAAATATTATTTGTTAGTCTCGTGAGTAACTAACAAATTTTTTTAATCCAATTGTCTTTTCTTACCATTGAGCTAGATTCATGTTGATTCTGACTATCTTTGATTGAATTTGTTAAAGATCTTACATTCATTATTACTACTAATCGTGCCATAAGTTAAAAGTTTGGTCTTGATTTAGAGAGATTTTTTAAATATGTTAAATTATAAATAAACTCAAAAATTTAAACTATTGTGATAAATTTAATCATTTGTTAGATACTTAGAGTGAAAATTCTAGGCTTTCACAAATGATTCCTTGGTTTGAGATATTGAGGAAAAAATTAATAATTTTGATGTCTCCCTCCAACGATTTCGAAGGTGAAGTACACCCAAGTTCCAATGGCATTGTCAAAATTTTGGTCGTCTGGGAAAGAATTAACCGGCTTGAAATGGTTAATTAATTGATTCACAATATCTTAAATATATTTAATTCATTCATTCAAATTAGTTAAATTAAATTTAGTATAAAAGTTACATTTCAACAATTATATTTAACTATTTTTTATTATTTATAATTAATTAATTTATATATATTTTTTTTGAGATCAATTTTGATTAATTCATTGGTGCATATATCATGATTATAAAAGATTTTTGTGAAACTTTAAACATACGGTCCCAAAATGTTAAGTTTACGTATAGACTATCCCGATACCCATGTGAAACCCGTGTCAAAATTTGATGGGGTCATGTGCATGAACGTTTTTGTCCCATATAATTACCAATTATGATGTGTATATCTTTACATCTCACATCAATGATTGGGATGGGTAAATAATACTCTTTTTTCTTTTGCAAGCATTATGAAAATAGACTGCTCAATCAGTCTACTTCGATAAGTCTACCAACTGACTATTTAGTTTTACAAATAGCAAAATTGACATTGATTAGTGCAGTCTCAAAACTTTAAAAGTATCTATTATCCTTTACCTATTAAATTTGTCGAAATTGTTTAAAAAAGTTGTCGAAATTAATTTCAAAAGTGGTAGCCTAGTGAGTGTGAGTGTGAGTTTTTCTTTTTTCTTTTTTTTTTCTTTTTACTTACTTGAATAATAGACCTCTCTAAAAAAATCCTTATGAAAACAAAGTGATTGATAAAATTGGCAAAAATAAAATAAATGAAGGGCAAAACATAGAAAGAATCTACCTACTATTCAAAAACTCGGTTAGCCATGTTTGAAATATTAAAAATTTTGGCTTCTTAGAGAATTTGAAATTTTGTACGACATGATGAGACCTGGAATGGATAAGAATTGCAGGTATTTGATTGGATGAATGGATTCCCACTAATCCTTTTCATCCTCAAAATCAGTAATTCACCATCAATAATACAAATTTAAAATAAATAGTGAAAACTATAAAGTTGCCCTAAAGCTGCACGTGACCTCACTGTGATATGACAGCTTCTCTCTCTCTCTCTCTCCCCCTCCCCCTCCATAAGTCAGGTGTTATTATGAATGTTGATATCTGATATGACACTTTCCTTTTCTGTTGTGTGTCTGAATCAAGATTTGAAATGAAAATATGATAATATATTGATCTCGATGGAAATTTATAGGAAGGGTATAAAAAAAAATTGTAAAAAATATTTTAATTTAATGAATAATTATTTCACCGTTTTCAAATAAATTAAAAATAATTAATATTAATATATATGTATTAATGATATTTTATTGGTATTTTTTCGATTTTTTTTTTTAAATACTATGAAAATATTGATTTACCTTTCATGTTGATATCATAGGTACAATTACGAAAATTTAATACTCTAGTCTAAAGAGATATGCTATATTTACAAATATACTTTTAATAATACATACTTTTAAATATTTTAGCATAAATTATTTTACCTATTAAAGTTTTTCGTTTTTTTTCTCCTCTAGACTAAATGGTTGGGTGCTTTTGTTAAGTAATATCATCAAATTAGGTAGGTTTTAGTTTCGATTTTATTTATTTAAACTTCTTTGTTCAACCACGATGGCTTATGATTTTGAGTTGATTTTCACATCTCCTTATTATCATGCTAAAGATAGAAACCCTAATTTATTTCCCATTAAAAATTAGATACGTTCAAATTCATGAAGTCTCAATTTTACAGAGATATCAATAATGTTAATTTTCTTTATAATAGACGTGAGATATGATATCTTAACTTTCTACGTGAAAGAAATGAACAAATACTATTTATTAGGTTGATGTTGGCTATATCAATAATAATGTTAGTAAAATAAAAACTTGGATTGATATTTGTAGAAAATGATATTGAATCAATAAACTTATAAAGATTTTGATCTAATGTGATTGAGGGAGAAAATAGATTCAACCTATTGTCTAATTTGGGCATAAACTCTCGATCATTCTGTTTTTGATATTACCCAAAAATTTCATATTTATGGATAGGTTGTCCTTCACACCCTCCCCTTATCTAGCCAACGCATATCCAACGAAACTATATTACATTCATGGATTATTTCAAGCGTTTACTTTCAAAATATATAACTAGTGTAACATCACAAACAACACCTTGGATTGAAGCCAAAGTATTTTCTTCTGCTTCTACAATTTGATCTGTCTCTTACTTTTCTCCTTCTTGAACTTACTGTAATCTTCAACCAATTTATCTATAGTTTTATGCTTCACATCCTCAATCATTACTTTCAAAACCTGTTCCTTAGAAAGCTTAACAAATTAACTGTCTGTATAAATCAATCAAAGAGTGAGAATACTGCCTATACATAATATACTATAAGGAGTTTCTACTCACTTTTGTATGACTTATTTTTATTAGTCTATTTCTATTGCATTCAATAGATAAGTGTATTTAGCAAATAAAAATAGGCCACATTAGATAATAATGTAGAAGCTTGTACTGACAGACACTTTCTATAAAGAAAAAAGAGGAGTGGATGGTTTGTTTACCGTCTCGAAGATGTTTTGAAAAACGTCCTTCGGAATGAAACTCAGAGTCTGCAGGACAACAAATGTTAGATTCATGAGGAGTTGAAACTTAAGTCTACTTGTAGTTCCTCTTTTGTCAGTGTAAATAGCTCCTTTGGAACAAACTTTGGCTGAAGATGGCCTATAGTCCCTATGGATGCCATTGATCTCCCAATTTGTCTGCAAACAAACACACCAAAACAAGCCGTATATATTTTTTTAGTTTTCATGGAACTGTAGCAAAATATGCTAAAAATTTGGGATTTTGAATGAGATGAAGAACATATACCATTTCAAGTTCGAGAAGTTTTGTGATATATATGATGAGGAACATGAGGTGGGTAATCCTCACCACTGGTTTTGGAGATTATTTTTATATCAACCACTGGCAATAACTTGAGAAACAACAACTGGATTTGTGGCGTTTCAATTCTCCACTCTTCCTCGATAATATCAAAACATCCAAACTCATGTTATATCATAATAATATAACAATTTTTTTAATAGTAATTATAATTTTTTTAAATAATATATTTTTTAATAGTAATTATTTTATTTTAAAAGAGAAGATAAATTTTAATAAGTAACATTTATTTAAACAAATTTAAATAGAGAAGATAAGATATAAAAAGAAACAGCAAAAATATTACGGAGATTTAAACATAAGACTTTTAATTTACAAGGTGAAAGTGAAGGTACTCTAATGACCTTAATGGGAACTCTAAACATTATCTTTTAGAGTAAGTTTGGAATAAGTTTAGTAGGATAATGAAAACATTTTACCAAACAAAAAGAACGTACATGTTTGTACTAAAAAAACATAAATTTTACCAAACAAGGAGAAATCATAAACAACAACTTTAAAAGATGATGAAAAAAAAACCTGGTTGAGCTGTTGACATTTTCCTGGAAATGTTGCCTTCAGCAATCTGGGTTTATCTTCCAAGTATTGATCAAAAGAAGCTTTCTAGAGAGAGAAAGAACTAAAAAGAATCAATAAATAATTAGTTTATGAAAAAAGAGAGAGAGAGAAGTAGAAAGAGGTGAGAGAAATATTATGTTCATACACCAGGAGACTCGTTAAGAGGTATATCACTGAAAAATCCCATAGAAAAAGATAACAAATTTTGATGCTGCTGCTGCGTTTTGGAGACTGCACAGAATTTGCAGCTCCTAATTATTTTCTGCTTCTTCTTCTTCACAATATTGAATCTGTTGTTCGACCTTTGTTCTCCATTTTCAACATGGAAATGTAGTAATTGAGTGGAAAATAAAGACATCATCGTTTTCTCATGACCATCGCGGTCTGTTAGTTTTTGGTCTTTTTAAAGCTTGTTAATTTTCAACAAAAAAGGACACACCTTTGCCATTTTGACACCCGACATTTTCAGACAAATGATTTGTTTTGCAGTGATTTGTGTGTAGCAAGTACAATCCCTAGTATATGTACCTCTAGTTCTTTCTCTTAGACGACGACAATAGACTTCAAGGGCGTGAATACTTGTTCTTAGGCTTGAATCAAAATCTTGTGTACTTCGAAAGTCTTCGAATCTTCGAAGTGT